TCCCTACATGTATTCATGGGCAGAAGTCCATCTGACTGTGACTGTAGTGCTGTTTCAGTAAAGCTGTCAAACTGCTCTCTGGTTTCCACTGCACTGGCGAAAGAGCTTCCTGGCTTTAGAGTGTTAGCTGCTTTTTCTAAAGAGCAAGAATTCCTCCTGTTCTCCTGGCTTGGAAAGATTTAAAGCTGAGGTGAGTGTAAAGCAGAATTTGGCTACTTGGTTTTGAAGTGACTCTTGATGAATTTGTGTATTTCAAAATGAGTACTGCCACTAGTGGTACAAGGAACCTCCTGGCTTCTCTCAGTTGTTCAACTCTTTTAATGTGGGTGAGTGAGGCTGCTATTTTTTTTATTATTATTTTTTGCCAACCATGGCAAAACATGGTGGGCTACACATTCTTTGTAACCTGATCATCTAGAATAAACACTCCACCCTAGGGCTCTTGGTAACTACCTGAATGATGTTTTGACACTGGCCGCTCTTGAATTTGAAGAACAACTGATAGCTGGAGTCTGTAGCCCCAGCGAGAAACTGGGGTCTTCTGTACTGGGCTAAGGGCCTGTATCTGCTCGGTTCTGGGATGTAAGTTGATCTGCACTAAGCACCTCGGGCTATAAAGGTACCTCTTCTGGACCCCTCCCTGCTCTTTCTTTGGGTGGTCACATTCTGCACTGCTTGTAGTTTGGTTTGAGCTAATGAGTTAAGTGGTGTGGATTTTGTTTGAATAAAATGAACTGTAGGTGTAATGTACCAGTCAAGGCCAACAGTTGCAATAAATCATATGCATACATGCACTTCTCGTCATATCAACGTGGAGCACAATACCACTTAGTTGCACAGATTTAAATCTTACTTTCCCGCTGACAGATTCCATGCCAGGGAAGTTATCTTCAGCCCCAGTGGTCTGCCTGCATTGGCACAGGCTTTAAATTAACGTTGGTGTGTTCTCTGCCTGTGATGCTGTGACAGGCCTGAGCAAGGAAAAACCATGTGTTTGGGACTCTTCCAGTCAGGTATTCTGACACCACTGGTGAAGTCATTGGTTGTGTCCCTATTTAATAAGTTTATATCAATACATTGATGTTTGATTTCAGAGCAATAGGTTCCATGTTATATGAGTGCTTCCTCAAGTCACTTAAGCGTGTGCGTGTGGGAAGCTGGTACCAAAAAGTGTACTTCACAAAGCTCTGTGTGTGGCTGTAAACCAGAAAGAAGGGGGGGGTGGGGGGGTGTAAATACTACTTCAACTGCTCCAGGAGGACAGAGGAAACACTTGCAAAACATTTTTTGAAAACAGCTTGACTTCACGCTTGGTCACAATTAACTACACTTGATGGAAAGACAGTACAGCTTGTCAAGAAAGTGCAAAGAATCTAGGACAAGATGCCTGAAAGTGCTAACACACCTTGCTGTTAATGCTTTATGTGCACGTTGGGAAATTATTGTTGAGGGCAAAGAAAGCAACTAAGCAAGAAAGGTTGGAGTATGGAGTTAACTGCATTCACAGTACTATTGTTTCCTATTTGTAATAGTTATTTTAAGCCATGGAACAGGAGTAACTAGTAGTGCCTAACCAGTATCTGTTGTGTTCTATTATCTTTACACATTTATAGTCAACTTTTCTTTGCATTGGGAAGAGAGAATAGCTGGAGCTGCTGTAACTCACCTCCACATCTCACAGGCATTAGAACAAGGGAAGTGATGCGGGCAAGGAAGACTGTCCCTTCTGCAAGGGCAGTCTCCACTGGACAGCATCTTCAAGTTGTATCTTGTTTTCCTATGGATTCAAGAGATAATACCAGCAATGCTACTTTCCTGTAACTGATTGGTGTAAACTTAATAAATATCTAAGCAGTACTCGTACCTATGAGTTTTATAATGGGTCGGATGGAGTTGAGCCTTACAGCTCTGCCTTGAATTCCCTGTAATCTCTGCTCCTCAGTACACAACTGGTGCTTACGTGGCTCAAAAGAATGGATAGCCCTGTGGGTAACAGGTGCACTTGAAGATAGGGTAAAAACCAGAGATGTTAATGCTTTTTCTGTACTGAAGGAGAATAACTACATTCCTTGTCTGTGCCAACTGCCTAAAGCTCACTTCTACCTCAGCATGAAGAGCACACTGAGCTGCTACATTCCTTAGGAGTGCAGGTGGTTTTGACTCCTGGAGTGAAACAGGCAAGTAACCTACTTAAGTAAAACTTACATTTTTTTTTTAAAAAAATTTATTTAAGAACACTCGAAATGGGGGAATGAACAGATGCCTTTTCTGTCCCTGCTTTACTTAACACTGAAGATAATTGGTAACATCTTGATTATACAATACAGGACAGATGAACAGTAACTAATAATGTTCAGTCTGTCTCTGTGCCATCATCATCTTCCTCATCTCCACTGTGAGACTGCTCTTCTGTAATGGAACAGCTCAGCAAGGACTTCTGTATACACTGTCTTTCCTCTGCAATAGAGAGAGTAACAGAGAGTCATTACTTGATTTCTTCATATATGCTAGGATGTCCTCAATTTCTAAAGAAAGGAACATTTAGCAGTTTGAGAACTCAGAAGCATCCCCACATACCCTACAACACCCTTAGGAACTGAGGTTGCATTTTAGGAAAGTGGCTGGAGGAACTTACCTTCATTTGTACAGTTTTGCAACAACATCAGCAGCTGTCTTCTATTATACTGAATTAGAAATTTCTGACACGTTCTTATAGTACCTGTAGGAGTCACAAGAACAGTATCTGACAATCTACAAAACCAAGTGTTTCAGAGCTGTTAGTATGTCTTCTGAAGATCATTGTATCAAGTGACACGTCCCAGGCAACAACTTTATTAATGCAAGTGCTGAGAGGCGGCTGTAGACTTAGTTTCTGCGCTGTTGAGGTTAAGTGGTGGAATAATAATTTCCAACATGTAGTGCCCATTATTTGCCCCAAGCGGTTAATTTTCAGGACATGGATGATACTACACTTTGAAAATAATTTTAAAAAGAAAATAATATGGTATTTGCTGCTCTGGTTTTGTGTTGTGTAATGGAAGATTCAAGCAGAATTAATGAGGGCTCAACAACAAACTGCTGGTGCCTGTTTCTTATTTAGATTTGCTAAAGCCGCCAAGTCAGTGACACGTAAGATGTGCCTGTCGCACCCAGAGCGGTAAGACGGGGTTCTTCCATTTTAGCAGGCCTGGAAAGTACGATTAAGCTCCGCAGCCTCCCCCCCTGGCACCAGAGGCCCCGGCCGCGGGGCAGCTTAGGCAGCGGCTGACCTCCGACGTGCAGGGTGTTGAGGAAGCAGGGGTACCGCTGGGCCCGGCTCTCCAGCTGCCTCACGAAGGGGAGCGCGGAGCACAGCAGTCTGTAGGAGTCCTTGCGGCACCGCAGGAGCACGGTCCCGGTGTAGGCGTTGAGGTACTTCACTGCGGGGGCACACACGCACCGGTAAGCCCGGAGCCCCGCGCCCCGGCCCCTC